AATATTGTTAGGCAGCTAAAATTTTAGAATTTTTATTAGGAAACTTCTTGATTTCTTGCTTTGTTTTTAACTTAAAATTTGGATGGGACATGAATTTTAAAAAGTGCCTCTTTAGCAGAACTCATTTCACAGATAGCTGACTAGCAAGCCTTTAAAGGAGCAAAGGTTTATTCTATTTTAATTAAGCCTGCAAAACTTTCAGACTCTTGAAGTTTATAACTAAGCTCTCATATTTGCCAAATTGGGTGAGAAACTTTTGAGAACAAATTTTATGATATATTATAACTTCAATTTTAGTTCAGCAGAGCAGGAAACTAACTTCCCTTACAGTGTGCCAACATTTTTTTACCCTTTTAGTCTTACTCAGGAGATGCTGTAATAAAGAGCATTTGTATTAAAATTATGAAAAGCAGGAAGTTAGTTTTAAATCAACATGTTGAGATAAGTGTCTGCTAAATATGGAATGAAAACTATATATTATATAATCAAAATTATTCCACTCATTGCAAAGAAATAAAAAGTGAGGAATATCTTTTGGAAATTAATAAAAACGAATCCCAACTTTTTTCAACTTCAGTGTTTTTAAAGCATCATTGTTTATATGAATTATCATTTATTTCATAGAGAGATCCACATTTGTAATTTTGAGGGACTCTATAAAAAAGGAATATAAAATCTAAATAAAATATTAGGTAATGGATTTTGGAAGGAATACGGTGAATGTCATATTCTTCTTGCTCCATATGTAGGTTATAAATGACTCTTTAAGATACATAGAATAAAATTGTTAAATTGAGGACACCTTGGTGGCTCAGCGGTTGCATTTCTGCCCCAGGTGTGATCTTGGGGTCCTGGGATTGAGTCCCACATTGGGCTCCCTGCATGGAGCCTGCTTCTGCCTCTGCCTGTGTACTCTGACTCTCTCTCTGTGTCTCTCATGAATAAATAAATAAAATCTTTTAAAAAAATTGTTAAATTGAAATAGAAAATAATCACTTAATATTTATACTAACAAATACAAAGTACTATATAAGTAGAGTTTTATTTTGCCTTTAATTTTGGGATGGATATTTTATCAAGGTTAGACTCCTAGATTTCCAGTTTCCCTCAGCATGTTGATCACTTTTCCATTGTCTTCTGGATTCCATAGTTTGTGTTGAATACTTAGCTGTAAGTTTTACTGATTTTCCTTTGAAGATGATGTGTCCTTTTTCTCTTCTTGGCTGCTTTTAAGATATTCTTATCATCTTTTATTTTCAGCAGTTTGGCTGGTGGGGTCATTTTATTTTACTTTTTCCAGTGTGTTGTTGGTTATATTCCTGAGTCAGGGAAGTAGTGTATTGAATCAATTTTGGAATATTCTCACCTGTTTTTCTGAAAATACTGCTTTTGCCCCATTCTCTTCTCAACTACAGTTACATTGGGCTGTTTGATTCCTATATGTTTCTTTTGCTCTGTTCTTTTCACATACTTTTTTTCCCCTCTTTACTTCAGTTTGGATATTTTCTGCTGATCTCTTCACAAATCCTGTGGGTTTTTTTTTTTTTTTTTTTTGTGTTGAGTCAGCTATAAAACTAACCCACTGGTATCTCAATTTCAGATACTGTATTTTTCAATTCTAAAGTTACTATTTGATTCTTTTTCATAGATTTTAATTCTTTGCTGAAATTTTCCTTCTTTTGTCTACTGTGAACATTTTTCTGTACCTTCAACTTATATTAAATAAGTTTTCTGAAAGTTTAAGTTTTCTTAAACTCCTTGTCTTCTATTTCTGTATCATCTGTGCGTCAGCATCCATCTGTCTATCTATATATTTGTAAAATAGAAATTTTTTTCTCTTGATAATTGGTCATATTTGGGGTCCTTCTCCATACTTTGTAATTTTTGTTGTACACCAAATACTATTTATTATAGGATCATAGAAATTGATATAGAGGTTATTGTAAGTGCCAGTCACTTTAACTGAACTTCAAATTGAACTGGGTAGTTAAAGCGAAAGCTTTAGATATATTTAGTCTATTTCTGGTCATAAATGTCTTTAAGGATAAAACTGTTGTGTTGCAGATATTTCTTTCTTTTTTAATAAATTAATTTTTATTGGTGTTCAATTTACCAACATACAGAATAACACCCAGTGCTCATCCCGTCAAGTGTCCCCCTCAGTGCCCGTCACCCATTCACCCCCACCCCCCGCCCTCCTCCCCCTCCACCACCCCTAGTTCGTTTCCCAGAGTTAGGAGTCTTTATGTTCTGTGTCCCTTTCTGATATTTCCCACACATTTCTTCTCCCTTCCCTTATATTCCCTTTCACTATTATTCATATTCCCCAAATGAATGAGAACATACAATGTTTGTCTTTCTCTGATTGACTTACTTCACTCAGCATAATACCCTCCAGTTCCATCCACGTTGAAGCAAATGGTGGGTATTTGTTGTTTCTAATGGCTGAGTAATATTCCATTGTATACATAGACCACATCTTCTTTATCCATTCATCTTTCGATGGACACCAGGGCTCCTTCCACAGTTTGGTTATTGTGGACATGGCTGCTAGAAACATCGGGGTGCAGGTGTCCCGGCGTTTCATTGCATCTGAATCTTTGGGGTAAATCCCTAACAGTGCAATTGCTGGGTCATAGGGCAGGTCTATTTTAACTCTTTGAGGAACCTCCACACAGTTTTCCAGAGTGGCTGCACCAGTTCACATTCCCACCAACAGTGTAAGAGGGTTCCCTTTTCTCCGCATCCTCTCCAACATTTGTTGTTTCCTGCCTTGTTAATTTTCCCCATTCTCACTGGTGTGAGGTGGTATCTCATTGTGGTTTTGATTTGTATTTCCCTGATGGCAAGTGATGCAGAGCATTTTCTCATGTGCATGTTGGCCATGTCTATGTCTTCCTCTGTGAGATTTCTGTTCATGTCCTTTGCCCATTTCATGATTGGATTGTTTGTTTCTTTGGTGTTGAGTTTAATAAGTTCTTTATAGATTTTGGACACTAGCCCTTTATCTGATATGTTATTTGCAAATATCTTCTCCCATTCTGTAGGTTGTCTTTTAGTTCTGTTGACTGTATCCTTTGCTGTGCAAAAGCTTCTTATCTTGATGAAGTCCCAATAGTTCATTTTTGCTTTTGTTTATTTTGCTTTCGTGGATGTATCTTGCAAGAAGTTACTGTGGCCAAGTTCAAAAAGGGTGTTGCCTGTGTTCTCCTCTAGGATTTTGATAGAATCTTGTCTCACATTTAGATCTTTCATCCATTTTGAGTTTATCTTTGTGTATGGTGTAAGAGACTGGTGTAGTTTCATTCTTCTGCATGTGGATGTCCAATTTTCCCAGCACCATTTATTGAAGAGACTGTCTTTCTTCCAGTAGATAGTCTTTCCTCCTTTATCGAATATTAGTTGACCATAAAGTTCAGGGTCCACTTCTGGGAATAGAGATATTCTGTTCCATTGATCTATGTGTCTGTTTTTGTGCCAGTACCACACTGTCTTGATGACCACAGCTTTGTAGTACAACCTGAAATCTGGCATTGTGATGCCCCCAGATATGGTTTTCTTTTTTAAAATTCCCCTGGCTATTCGGGGTCTTTTCTGATTCCACACAAATCTTAAAATAATTTGTTCTAACTCTCTGAAGGAAGTCCATGGTATTTTGATAGGGATCGCATTAAACATGTAAATTGCCCTGGGTAACATTGACATTTTCACAATATTAATTCTGCCAATCCATGAGCATGGAATATTTTTCCATCTCTTTGTGTCTTCCTCAATTTCTTTCAGAAGTGTTCTATAGTTTTTAGGGTATATATCCTTTACCTCTCTGGTTAGGTTTATTCCTAGGTATCTTATGCTTTTGGGTGCAATTGTAAATGGGATTGACTCCTTAATTTCTCTTTCTTCAGTCTCATTGTTAGTGTATAGAAATGCCATTGAATTCTAGGCATTGATTTTGTATCGTGCCACACTACCAAATTGCTGTAGGAGTTCTAGCAATCTTGGGGTGGAGGCTTTTGGGTTTTCTATGTAGAGTATCATGTCATCGGCGAAGAGGGAGAGTTTGACTTCTTCTTTGCCAATTTGAATGCCTTTAATGTCTTTTTGTTGCAGATATTTCTGATGTGACTTTGTACTTACATACTCTGAAATTGTGGGAATTTTTACTATATCTTTCGAGTTCTGCCCCCTTTTACTCCTTCCTTGCCTTTGGTTGAGAGCAAATACTTTTTTTTTTTTTTTTTTTTTTAGGGGAGATCTGCTTAAATTCTACACTGAAAGTGGCAGGCTCCACCTATTATTGTGTGACTTTGACTCCTAATCACCCTCCTATTTGCCCTCTGGCCCATTTTTTTCTTACTCATTCCAAATTTTCTTTTGCTCCCCAGCCCTCAGCAAATCTTCCAGCAGAAAATGGTTTTTCATAGGATTTCTTAGGGTTCCATAGAATTTCAGTCTGTCATGCCAGTCTATTAACCATCAAGAACTATGCTGGTTTCTCTTTTCCCTAGTAGTGTCCCTCTTTCTGACTCTTAGCTCATAAGTGGCAAGTCCTCCTGGAAATGAAAACAATAGGAAGTTCAGCTTACCTAAGGGGTATTATTTTTTCCTAGTTTATCCTTATTATCTCACATTGTTGTCTAATATCTTTAAAAATATAATTGGTGTGACAGTTTACCTTTTTTTCCCCTAGTCGTGGAAGCAGTGACTTGCCACTATGTGTTCATAATTTTGTCTTATAAAAGTAAGAACAAAACTTAGATCCAAGTGTTTAGTCTTTTATATGTTGTATTTACCTAAAGTTTGTATGCTTGGATTATTGGCTTGTTACTGAATATTAATATTTGTTGCATAAACTATGCGCAGAAATTGATTAGCATTGATGTTTGGAAAAATCATATCCAGAGAGCTGGTTTTAATTTAAAATTACATTTGTCAGTAGTAATTGAAATAAAATGTAAACAAAAATTAATTCTCTTTTCCTCTCCACCTTTCCTGTTTAGTGAGTGATAGTTGCTTCAGGAATCTTGCAGAAGATCGCAGTGGGATAAATCTCAAAGATCTCGTACAAGATCCTTCTTTGTGAGTATTTGGTTTTCAGTACTAAGTTAATTTAAAACTTTATAGTTAGTTTGACTTTTTTCAAAAGAGTTATAATTGAGAACTACTTTAATGTTGAGTTTTTCTTTTCTAACAATTTGTTACATATAGTAAACACATCCAACAGTTTCAGTAGAAGTGAAGGTATAGAATAGTTCCTTTTTAGAAAAAGAAGAGATAATTAGAAGAAGAGAGAACACTGATTAATGATCGACTTGCAAGGAGTCTTTACTAATGGTTGATGGTATCTTGCCAACGTGGCAATAGATACTGGTAGGAAAGATGAGTTATTCATTTGCTGGGAAAGGTGTGATTGAATTTGCTCCCATAAATTTTAAGCTTTTTTGATAATACTTATTTATAAGTATAATTACAAATATAAAATAATTATTTATAACATATTAGAATATTTATAATATATTTATAATATTTTACATTAGAAAACACTATAAAGAAAAATTTTTGAAGAGTTTTTTAGGTTTCATGTTTTAATTTTCTTACTAATGTAGCTTTCTATTTATATTTTATGAGTTAATGTTTTATAATTTTATGTTTGCTGTAAATTATGCATCCTATATTCTATATGAACATACCCTCCTGGTAAGAACACTTTTTATTTAAAAAAAAAAAAACAGAACAAAACAAGTTAAGCCTTGGGCAGCAGAGAAAAGAAAATTGAGTTCTGGCAGGTGCTTTCTTTAATGATATATATAATGCATTCAGTAAAATATAAAAGGAAATCCACCTTTCACATCACATGTAATCTACACTCCAACAGGTTTTACTAGTAATTTATTGAGTATTTTGTGAGTAATAAAACACAAACATGTGTTGAATCTGAGGGATATTGATTCTTTAATGATTTTCCAGTCATTTTAAAAAATAGTCACAAGATACAGAATCTTGAAAATGACCAAATCTTAAAAGTTTATAATGAATTTAGAATTTGAATTTAGAAACGAACTTCAAAACTCAACTCTCAGTTTTTTTGTTAATCTAGTTCTCTTTTCCTCACTCAAAAGGAACGTCAATATTCCTTCTCCGTGATCTTTATCTCACTGAAAATTGAAGTTGTCCTTTCAGTCCTATAAATATTTAATTAAGAATATAACTATTCTTTGTTATAAATATTCCCAGTAAATTATAGTTAAATAACATTTATTTGCATGAAGAATTCTATTTTCCTTATAGATACGAGAGGAAGCTTTATAATCGTTTTTGAAAGATCTCATCCATTTGGATGATAACAAAAGTTATTCCATTATTGTATTATTTGTAAGGTATATTTTTGGTCACAGTAGTATTATATATGTGTGTAATGTAGTCTTGGTGGAAAAAATGTACTCATATAGATTTTAATGATATAAAAGCTATGGAGAATTATACTTGAATTTTGATTATAACAATCAGTTATAGTGTTTTCAGAGAATTTGGTATGTCTTCCCAGAATGTAGAATAATACTCATCTTGCAACCTAGCATTTAATTTTAAATTTAATCTTAGTATTCTAAGAGAAATTTTTGAGAGATCACTACTGCATTGGTTAGACAAAATAATTCTGAGTCTCTGTTTTAAAATAGCAGATATCTTAATTTAGCTTTATTCTCTTGGCATTAGTCTTGACTGTAAGAATTTAGTGAGAATTCATTTTTGCTTTGCTACTTGGAAAGAGCTTTTCTTAATTAAGAATTGTACAAAATGTACTATTAATGATTCTAATTCATATTTTAGTGATATACTTCTTCCTTAACAAAATTCTTTAAGGAAGGAAATGCCTAGTGTGGAAAAATAATGTATTTTTTTCAGTTGTTATTGTGAAAAATAGTTTATTCTAACTTATTATTCTATAGCAATATTCACTTGGTATATACCTCATGGGTATGGATTTTTTTTTCCTAGAGCCATTTATCTCTCTTCTGTCCCAAACTCCTAACTAAAAATCTTTACTATTTGTTCATTGATTCATGTATACTACATGGTTCTATATGGAGTTGAATTTTTTATATTGCAACAATGAGTTGAAAATATGTCAGAAATAATGTTTTTCAGTAAAAAATATCCTACTTAAAAAAAAAAATCACTGGCATTTGATGAATACTCCAGACTCCTGAGCTGCTGATGCTAAAAGGAGTTGATGTGTAAAGGAAAATTAAGTATTATAATCACTAAGGCTGTTCAAAAGGGAGACAGTAAAGAGAAAAGAAAAAAATAAACTGAAGAGAAGCCAGGCTATCTGTTCAATATTGACACTGGGAGCAGTATATAGTATGTCATAGTTGGATAAATCAGTATGTATGGAATTTCTGTGGGCAAAATAATAAAATAAAACTAAATCAAATGTAGTATGTGCATGTGTGTGTGTATGCATGTATCTATAAATGAATGAATGAAGTTTTAAGGGATTATTGCCTCAGGAGAATGAACAGGAAGAACAAAAAGGGACTAATTAATTCTTTTAAATCTGTGTCAAGCTAAGAGAATAATGTGATATGCCCTTTGTCATTTATCTGGACTGTGTATACCGTACTCCCCAAGACTTTACTTCCATTGTGTAGTAAAACTAATTATTGGGCTTGATGAAACTGCGTGACCTATGTTACAAGAACATGATGAAGGGATGCCATGAGAGAAAAAGATAAGAAAGTTGTGAATCCCTAAGAAAGACTTTCTGGCCTTACTACTAATTTTTGATCTGTTTTAATAATGAGAGTAGAATGTGACTTGTGGGAAAATTGAAGTAAAAGGGATACTTGAGAAGCTCTCTTCTTTGGTAATTATTCTGAGAATAATTTTTTCTATCACAGTTCTGCAAGTGTTAAGTGTTAAGACCAAGTAGAGGACCTTGAGTTCATTTCTTTCTGGGTTTGTTTGAATTAGTAATTTGCACGTATGTTGCATTTTAAAGTGAACAATTTTATCTGTTCTAATAGCTCATCTTATATTTATGATTATAAGTATTTTAAGATTGATTTCCTCTACTGTGTGTATAATCTGTTCTGTTGTGTTGTAAGACCTTTTGTTTTACTTGTGGTCTCTCAATGGCACATTGAAAAGCATTGTCAATTTTAACTTTTTTTTAAAATATTTTATTTATTCATGAGAGAGAGAGAGAGAGGTAGAGATTTTTTTTTGACTTTTTTAAAATATTTTATTTATTCATGAGAGAAAGAGAGAGAGAGAGAGCATTGTCAATTTTAACTTTATGTTTCACTGTATTAGAAACATATCCAATGTGATATATACTTTTCATACATACAGGTAGTTTTTTCTTAGTAGGATAGTATTTATTGTTGGTTCTCTTTAAGAGATGCATACTATTTAAGTTATAAAAATCATTTATGCAGCTACTTGTTATCTCTGCTAGGGAGATGAACCTTATATGCAAATTAAATACTGTATTGAAAAATTCTTTAAGTTATATTTGGTTGTGTTTCTTTTAGAAGTAATTCTTTTGGAGGTAATATCGCAAAAATACTTTTAAATCCCTTTTGACTGTTTCTGAAAGATGAAAATAAAACATATTACCATATGTATATTTGATTTCTATTCATCGTATAAACTACTTAACACAATTATTGAACTCAGAGAACATTCATAGAAATTATTAAAGCTGTTTAAGAATCAAAAGAGAAAAAGAACTTAAGAGTGAAAAAGCTATAACAGAATTGAACACCTTTTGGTTCAGTGTGTTGATGCTTATCATTGTGTATCGGCAGATGTGTCTTGTTAATTGTGGCAAAAGTGCTTAAAAATTTAGATCATCTAGTATATGTGGCTACATAAAGCAAGTATAGGGAAGAATTGTTTTAATTCAACTAGAATTGGACATCTCTTGACACTAAGAAATATAATTTATAATGCAGGATACTATTGAATTTTCTTTATCATCAAATAAGAAAAGTCTTATATTCTTTTGAAATTGCACAACAGACAATGTCAGTCCTTTTTTTTCTCCTTTATGTATTCTGAGTATAGTTCAAATTTTCCAGTGACATCAAGGTTTTGAAAAGATATTAACAATTTATAATCTTCGTGATTTATATAAAAGAGAGTCAGTGAAATAGACCTGAATTCTGGAATCATGTAAAATTATATTATGGATCAGAAAATACGTTTTCTATCAGTGTTCTTGGTATTTCTTTATATTGTCATAAAATAAAAATAGCATACAAATTTACCTCTCACAAACCGAGTTTAAGTGTATAGTTTCAGTAGATGTTAAGTATAAACACACTGTTATACAAATCAGTTCCTTAAAATTTGTTCATCTACAGAACTGCAACTCTATACCCATTAAACATAACTACCCATCCTCTCTCCAGCCTTTGGCAACTACTGTGTAAACTTTCCTGTTTCTATATTTTTGACTATTGTAGAAATCTTCACATAAGTAAATTTACAGTACTTTGTCTTTTGGTGACTAATTTTGTTTCACTTAGCATATACATCCCGAAGGAATTCTGCCTATGTTTAGTGTCGGTAAAAAGTGCTTTTTTAAAGCTGATAAATTCCACTGGATTGTATGTGTACACAACATGTATCTATACATCCGGCAGTGGACACGGTTTGCTGCCAACTTTTGTCTATTATGAAGAATTACTGCTATAAACATGTTGTGGCAAATATCTCTTGAGACCCTGCCTTTCAATTCTTTGTGGTGTATACGAAGGAACAGAATTGCTGTATCATATGATAACTGTTTTTTATTTTGAAGAACTGCCAGATTGTTTTTCCATATTGACTCCATGCACCATTTATATTGCCACTAACAGTGCTCAAGGGTTCCATATCTCTACTACTTCCTACCAATACTCAATATTCTATTGTGGGTTTTGGTTATTGTTGTTGATAGTACCTATTCTATAATGGTGAGGTGATTTGTATCTTGGTGTTTTTCATTGAACTTACATTTATTTGTCTTTTAAGTGAAGTCAATACACAATTCATCCTAAGAATAAGAAAAATTCTGAATTATTGGGAAC